GAATCTGATAACCTGGGAAGTATCTGGAAGTTTAACTGTACTATTTTTTGCCTGACCTAGGAAGATGGTGAGGTAACTAATTATAAGAATTAATTCCACTGATCCTTTCCCAAGCAGAGTGAACAGTCAGGTCTATAAAAACCATGATCTCAGAACTCTCAAATACCTCAAGGGCACATTTTGGGGCCAAAGAACACAGTATTGTGAGAACCTGCTCAATATGTCTATCTAGACTGATGCCATTTCAGTTGAATTTTGTAAAGATGGTTTGTATTCATGCACAGTATAGTTTGAACATGCAAATCGTATGGAATACAGAACAGAACCAGAGGATGTCATTAATAAGATGCTCTTCATGTACAACCTAGACAGAAATCCCTTTTGGTCAGTGGGTTTTACTTATCTGAATAAAGGGAGAAATGTTGAGTTCCAAAGAGCTTTCTGGAATTTTAGGTAGAGGTTTTGGCTCCTTCAAACTTATGTTTTATGTTCTTTTCAGAGTCCCACAAGCAAGGGAGCTTCTCAGACAGATTGTGGAGTTATTTTAATCCTAGGCTGAAGATTCTGTATTTTATTCTAGGAGTAAGGAAGGAAGGAAGGAGATGGAAAGAAGGAGGAAGAAAGGAAAGAAAAAAGGAAAGAAACAAATATTTATTATTATTAAGTGTATACTATGTTCCAGGCACTATGACAAGCAATAGGGAGTCATTGAAGGTTTTGTGCTTTCTTGATTCTGTTTATTTTTTTTTTTAAATAAGGGGAGTGTCATAGTCAGATCAATGCCACTGGAAGATTATTTTGGCAGTTAAAAGGATCAGAGACTGTAGGCAATGAGACTGGAAGCAGGGTCACCGATTAAGAGGCACTTATAGTCATTAATATGAGAAGTGATTGGAGCCTGAACTGGGGTATAGGGGTGGGAACTGGGACAGATTTAAGAGAAGCCCAAGATATAGAATCCATAGGGAGTCAACAGGGTCACATGGCCAGAAATGGGACTGATTAGTCACTTTCACTAGACATTTTGAATTCCAGAAGCCTACAAATTTAAAAAAAAAAAAGGAATTTTGCACCAGATATAGAGCAATTGCAGTTGAATGCACTGGACAAAGAAGAGAAAACCCTGACAGGGTAAAATCCTTATGAATTCACACCCAAGAATGTTCCTATTTAGATATGTGGAATTTGAGATACTGATGAGACATCTAGGTGGAACTGGCTAGTGGGCAGTTGGTGCTGTAGGACTAGAGCTCAAGAGAGATGTTAGTGATGGACATGTAGAATTGGAAGTTATCAGCATACTTATGATAACTAAATCCATTATGAAATCTATAATGAGATTTTAAAAAATCATGAAAAAGGAATATTCACCCATGCTTGGCAGCAAGAAATGGATAGTGACCCAGGGAAGGGAACTGATAAGAAATGGTCGGGCAGGTAGGAGGAGAAACAGGAGGGAATTGTACATAGAAGTCAAGGAATGGGACAGTATCCAGGAAGAGAAGTTAGCAGAATCAAGAGTTATGGGGAGGTCAAGATGGATTAAAAAGGCTATTGGATTTATCCATTAAGAGAGCACTGGTAGATAGGTCTGAGTCACATGGGCAATGAGATGGCAGATGAGACATTTTCTCTGATCCTCATAACCTCTGAAATCTCTCCAAAACAGAAATAATGTGCCAAAGATAAAGCAATTTCGGCTGCCTCCAAAGTCTAGGACACCCAGAATCCAAAAGAAGGTTAAAAACAAAAACAAAAACCCAGAAAAATACTTATTGACCCTGAGTTCACTTAGCATCCCTCCTCTATGTCCTATGCTACATGCAGCAAGATTACATTAGGAGAGCCAAGGGCATGACACAGGCTGATGTCAAGACCCACCCCTATACCTTGGTCCCCTCTCCCTCTTTCCAGTACCATGGAAACCCCAGATATAGGCTGCAAAAGTTTGTTCAAGGCTCTAAAGCCAGATTGACCACAGTCCTTCAGGAGGAAAAACCTACTGGGAGGTTGCAACATGGAAGTATTGGTGTTAAAAAGCTCTGAACTGGAGGTGCTAGGGAAAACAAGCTATGAACTACTGGTGTTGAATCAGAGAACTGAGGAATAGAGGGAGTAGGGCAGCTTACCAGGATAGTACAGAGTGTGTGTGTGTATGTGTGTGTGTGTGTGTGTGTGTGTGTGTGTGTGTGTATGGTGTGTGTGTATGTGTATATGTGTGTGTGTGGTGAGGGCAGGTGGAGCACTCCACCAAGCCTGAGGGAAAGAGTACTGAAGCTAGCTAGAGCCATTTTATACCACCCAAAAGTCAGCTTGGGGAGAGACGTAAACAGGTGAACCAAGTGGGAAGTCTGAGATGCTTTGAGATCCAGCCCCAAGGAAACCACAATTAGAAGGGATGGAGTCAGGAAAATACAGGGGAAACAAAGACTAACAGTACTAAAGATTTCATAAAAAGAAAATTCAAAGACCTTGAACATAAACAGATAAACTAATAGGAAAAACAGAAATAACAGAAAAAATATGGCTTCCATCTAGTAAACATTCAAGCAACTATGAATAAATGTTGCAAAATAAAGGAAAACGATTCAACAATTGATGAAATGGAGGCCACCTATGGAATTTGAGGAGAACACGGAAACACAACATACTGTTCCTGAGTCGTTTAAAAGAAAAAAGAGAATTATGAGATCTGAATTTATATCCTGAAAAGCAAAAATAATGAGCAGAATAGAAAAACTTGAATCTGCAATTACAAGCCTCACCAAAGAAACCAAGGAGAACAATAGAGAGGGAATACAAATACCCAGAAGTAAAGGATAACTTAGAAGAAGAGAAACAAAAAACCAATAATATTTTTAAAATGTGATCATTATTCAAATAAGACATACTGATCTCCCCGAAGATGACAACAGGACAAAACACTTTAACACCATAATGAAACAAATAATGGAAGAGAATTGTCCACTACTTTTGAATATAGAAAATGAAATTCTAATTGTAAGAATTCCAGAAAAAAGTCCAAGGCTGCATTCTCCAAGACACATAATGGTTAAATTTAACAATTCAATTCAGAAACAAGAAGTTCTGCAAGCTATTAGGAGAAAGACCTTCAAATATGAGGGGAAGTACATTTGAATAATGTACTTTTCTGCACCCACTAGAAAAAGAAGAAAGGAACGGAATAATGTCTTTCAAAGACCAGTGGAGGTCAGGATGTAGCCCCAACCTCTCCTGCAAATCTTAGCTTAACCATACAGGAACAAGATGGATGTTCAATAATAAGAGTTTGAAAAGATTTTAGAAAGAAAATGAGAACTGAAGAGATTATTTGTTTCTCCAACAATCCAAACAACAGAAAGGCAGGAGGACTGAATCAATGCAGCAGTCAGGAACAGCAACATTAAAAACTAGTAGGAAACTTCTTTCTGAATGTATACAAGGAGACAGGAGTGAAGGCAGAAATCTGGTAGAGGTAACAGTGAAGGGTTAATGGGGGCCATTATGGACAAGATCTGGTGACACACTGCCTAAGGGTAAATGCTTCTTTTGTAGGACTACATTACAATATGGAAGGTATATAAAAGGGAGGGAGGGGAGCAGGGGGATAGAGAGGATTGAGTGAAGTGCCAGGATCTAATCAACAGCTAGTAAAGAGTTGAATGTAAATCCTGTGGTCTCAGAAAGAGAAGAGCCTACAATGGAGTGGGGGAGGAGGAGGAGGGAAATGGTGAAAAGGGGGGAAAGGAAGGAAGTCTTACTTTGGAGGGGAGAGGAGAGTTTCACTGATGAATAGATATGAAGACCTTCCCATTGGATGAGGCCTGGGGGATTTGTCCCCTGAAAAATCTACTTGTCCTGGGAGAGGGGGAGGTGGAACCTCTGTGGGACAAGTGGCACCAAGAATGGGAAAGTAAGAGCCCAGGGAAGGGATTTCCAGGCAAATGCAGGAAAAAAAGGTTAACAAGAGAAAGTAGAGATAAGTGGGAGGTTGGGATTGGGGGGGGCAAGGCCCTACCATGGGGTATTGTCCTTTCTGACACTTACAATAATTGGCTTTGTTCTGGGAGTGGGGAATAATGGAGAAGGGGAATATGTGTGGTAAACCTTACAAGACAGTGGCAGAAAGCACTTAGAGGGGAGAACCTAGACCGGATACCATGGAAACCTTGATTACATGAAGAATAAAGAGAAAAGAAAGAGAGAGAGAGAGAGAGAGAGAGAGAGAGAGAGAGAGAGAGAGAGAGAGAGAGAGAGAGAGAACAGATAATTACAGGAGTCATGAATCAGATAATGAGGGTCTAGAGTAAACAGAAAGAAAAGATAGATAATGAAGAGGGAGAGAAATCCTTTTTGTAAAGAGGCACAAAAAAAGAAATTTTAAAAACTCATGGGTAGGACTAGCTGAAGGAGAGGAAGGGAGAATATATTTGACTAAGAGGAAAAAAGTTGGGGAAGAAATATATACCAGATAAAAGCAGTAGAAAACAGAGACCAAGAAGAGGACATCAAGGGTGAAAAGAAAAGCGACAATAGGAACAGGGCCACTTAAAAAAAAATAAAGTAACTGAAGGAACAGACTACTGTGTTTACAGCAAAAGAGGAAAAAAAATTAACTTGGAATAAAAACAATTTTAAAAACAGATGGAGGAAAATATAAACCTCACAATTTTAAATGTGAATGGATTTAAAGAATCCAATAAAATGTAAAAGAGTGACAGATTGGATGAGAAAACAAAAACCTACAATCTGTTGCTTATAAGAAACACATTTAAAAAACAAAGACATACAAAATAAAACTGAAGGGATATAAAAAAAAATGTAGTATGCAACAAACGGATTCCTCAAAGCAGGAGTTGCCATCATGCTATTAGACAAAGCAAAAACAAACATTCAAAAATAAAATGGAATAAACAAGGAAGTTGTATTATACTGAAAAGAATCATAGAAAACATATCAATATCAGTTATAAATTTAAATGCTCCAAATACTTTCACATCCAAGTTCATAAAGGAAACATTATTTGAGCTTCAAGAAGACATAGATGATAACAAAATAGTGACAGAACACGTCAACATCCCTTTATCAGTTTTGATTAAGTCTAACAGAAAGATAAACAAAAAGGGAAATATGGAACAAAGAGATCACTGGTAACCTTTGAGAGAATACTTTTGGTTGAGTTGTGGGTTGGAATCTTGATTGCAAGCATTTGAGAAGTGAATAGATCATGATAAATTGGTATGTAGTGTTGGTTTTTTTCTAGGAGTTTGGAAAGGAATGAGAGGTAAGATATCACATTCTTGACAGGATGGTAAGGATTAGGGAGACCTGGACATTCTTGTAGGGGGTGGGAAGGAACCAGTAACTAGGAAAAGACTAAAGATGAGAGAGAGAAGAACAAGTCGTGCAGAAGAAAGGAGGAAATTGGGGTAAGGCCACAAGTAGTTGATTGTGGCCCTAAATAACTCTTGACTCCTAGCATGTCTATGGGCCAGTAGTCGTGGCCCTTTTCAAATTATCTTGGTAATTTCACTTAGCAAAGAAGTGGGATTTTTTCCCCTAAACTCCATTGTGCCCCTGGTTGCTATCAACTCAAGAGCAAGACTCAAGAAAGGGTCAGGTGAGTTGGTAAACTTTGCCCTATTTCCCACCAACAAGCAAAATGACTGCATTTCTTACAATCGTTTGTTGAGTCAAATCAACTACAAGCATTGGTGTTGCATAGCCTGAGGGCATGTACAGTGCAAAGTGTGTATGCTTTGTGTTCAGAGCCAAGGCTGCAGGGAAGATATGGATGTCATTTGGGCAAGTGCTACCAGAAACATCTCAGATTTATCACATGTTGGATTTTTAATTAATTTTTGGCCATTGCACATTCAGAAATGTTTTATTGTTGCCAAATTTTTCTCAACCCCTTATGGGGTTGCTACTCACAGTTTAAGAAGGGCTGATTTCAATCATAAGGCCTTAGATTTACTTCTGGAAGGGACATTAGCAGTCATCCAGTCTGTCATAAATGAAATTTGCAGTAACTGAGGAAATAAAGGTTTGATCTTCTGAGCATATCAATTTATTGGCAAGGTAAGCAGTTGCACAACACATTGGAGTTCGGCCCTCCCAGAATGCACTGGACCTTGAATACAGATTTTATACATTATAAGAAAACAATAAACAGGATATAAACCAAGATGCAAGATTAAGTAATCTAACTTCTTATTGGAGGAATGATTAGGGCTTTCTGAGTCATGAGGGGGAGAGTGAGTTTCAAGGTTTTCCCAGAGTTGGGAGGGGTAAAGCAGAAAATGAAATCTCAGTGTCAAAATGGAGTCAGTTTTATAAGATGGAGTAAGTTTAGTTCACACAATTCCTACAATTCCCCCCTTTGATCCCTGGTGGGAGAAGCCCACCCTATCCCTCCATGGATCATTTATCTATAAACCAGATTTATAGTTTTTTATACGTTCATCATCAGAATTACATACTGTGGAGGGGTCCCCTGAACATATTTTCTTGAGTTGCCATATTTTCCAGGATGAAGCCCTCTTGAGCTAACATAATTTGCTACTTTCAACCCTAACTAAACTCTTAGTGTGCCCTTAAAGTTGAATCAGCTATAAACCTGGCTCCAGCCAGTCTACCCCAGACTGATAAACTGTTTGTACAGCTGGGACCCTTTCAGATAAGCAGAACATTCTCTATGGTCCTACAGTTCCAAACCCTCCTACTCCCTCTTATTATCCCTCCCCTAGTGTTCCTTTCCTACTCCCATGCCACTCCCATTTGGGAGGGGATCACCCTCCATTTCTCCCATGAGACCTTCCCTTTTTGCTGTAACCCATAAATACCCAAGGCTCTGTCTGCCTGTCTTGTGGATTCCTTTGTACTTGGTACAAGGAGTTCCCGCATGCATGTGCCCTTTTTCTTGAAATAAATGAAGTTATTACTCATGTCTTGTGGAGTTGTGACTTTTGGTTAATAGTACCAAGAAAAGACCATTAGGAATCACCTTCTTTCATAGCTTAGTACAACAGCTATAATAATGATCATCAATATTAAATAACATCAGGTTTCCTTGAATTCTAGTAACCTACTCCCAATGTCTGCTTAGTCAGCACATTTCATCTTGAGTCCTAGATATCCCATGTAGTCATCTGGTCCTTGGAAATATCTTCTTTTGGACATTCTGGAGCAGGTCTCATTCTCAGAACAGCTCTGAAGGCTTTGCTTCTTTGGTTTCAAGTCCCTTGTAGAGATTCTTAGGTGATTCTACTAAAATCTGCCAGTAACAAGAATCAATATAATTTAGTATGACCTCCTAAATTTGGTGAAAACCAGCTCAAACCTTATGGTCCTGATCCTATTAACAACAGAGCTATGAGAAGAACATCAAATTAGGAACCCACAATTCATCTGAAACTTCAGAGTTTCAGTTTTCATATACCACTTGCAGTTTCTGTCTTGCTTTAAACCTTGTACTTGATATAAACAATTCTGTCAACAGGATGAAGAAAGAATCTAAAAAACAAATCCATGAAGCCCTGACTTAGGAAATGAGGCCCTCTGTTTCTTAAATCAGATACTTCAAAAGCGGAAAATGATTTAACTTTATAATTATTAATGCAATTTTATACGTAAAATCTTTAATCCAGTTTTGAGAACTTATTACTAAAACATACTCAAAGTCTGAATTTCCCATTAGAAATATTTGGAAGTCAATTACACATGTACTACCCCCTCCTCCAATTTCATAAATGAGGAAACTGAGGCAAGAAAGGTTAAATGACTTATTCAAGATCACATACATAGTAAGTGATGGGGAAAGGATTTGAACCAAGGTTTTTCTGCCTCTAAATTCAGGATTCTTTCTATTGTAATTTACTCCCTCCATGTCTCCTCCTGTATTCTATTACAAAGGGGGGGAAATAGCAGTGTAGAGGAAATTCAGTATATTAAGTAAAAATAACCAGTTAATTCTGGGATTGTGGGAGATGTGACTATAAAGTAACAAACCTAATTTTAAAATAAGTGCACCCAAAGGTTCCTATCCAACTGAGCATTATGCCTTTCAAAATATTCATCTCAGGAGGCTATACAATCATTCCAGTGATGCTTCCATTACTTACAATATTTTCAGACCTGCTCTTTGGGAATCACTTTCAGAATTTGCTGACTATTATTCTGAATATCCTGAGTGGAGGCAAATTTCATTATTTAAGGATGGACTTGATTTCAATAGAGGGTAAAGTCGTTTGGAGCCAAGTATGTTCAAGGCACAAGTCTGACAGTATCAATCCCTGTTCAGAAACCTCCAGTAGCTCCCTAGTGCTTCCAGGATAAAAGAGAAATATTTAGCCTCATATATAGGGCCCACTGCAATCTGGATCCAAGTGACCCTTCCAGGTTTATTCTATATTACTATACTTAGCATATTCTACCTTCCAATATGGAGCAGCTAGATGGTTTAGTGGATAGAGCATTGGGCGTGGAGTCAAAAAGACCTGAATTCAAGTTTGACCTCAAACCCTTACTAGCTATGTGACCCTGGGAAAGTCACTTAACCTCTATTTGCTTCAGTTTCCTCAACTTTTAAATAAGGATAATAATAGCACCTACCTCCCAGGGTTGTTGTGAAGACTAATCAAAAGAATATTTACAAGAGCTTGACAGTGCCTAGCATGTGGGAGGTGCTTCGTAGATGCTTCCTTTCTTCCTTTCAGTTCAAATAGAGTCCTAGATGTTTCCTGAACTCGACATTTAAACTCTCACTTCCATGTGTTTGTTTCAACCAGGCATGCACAACCTGTGGCCTGCCAAAGGTTTTCTGGTGGCCCACAAAATATGTAGAAGAAAACCTTCTACATTTTTCACAGGTCTCTCAAAATCCTTTGGCAGGCCGCAGGTTGTGCAGGCCTGGTTTCAACTATCACCTATCTCTGGAATGTACTTCTTTTTCGTCTTGGCCTTTCATAATCTATATCTTTTTTCAAGGTTCATAGCAGGCATCATTTCCTCTGTACAAAGCCTTTCCTGACCCCCACCCCTCTCCCATTTTTAATGCTGGTTCTGTACTCAAGTTACATAGGTTAGGCATTTCTAGTCTACTCATTTTATTCCTAATCAATTAGCAAACATTTCTTAAGCACTTACTTTGTGCAAGGTACTGTGTGGAGTGCTGGGAATACCAAGAAAGTAAAAAATGTGGTCCCTACCCTCAAGGAGTCTACATTCTAATAGGAGAGGCAACATGCAAGCAACTAAGTTCATACAAGTTAGTGTAAATAGAAAGTAATTGCCAAGGGAAGGCACTAACCATGAAGAGAAACAGAAAGGACTCTTGCAAACAGTGAGATTTGAGCTTAGTCTTAAAAGAAGCCAGGGAAGCCAGGAGATAGAGGTGAGAGGGAGAGCATCCCTGGCCTGGAGGACAGCCAGTAAAAAGCTGTGGAGTCAGGAGATAGAATGAGCAACAAGTCTAGTGTGGCTGAATTGTATGGTGTGTGGAGGAGAGTATAGCATGAGGAGAATAGAAACGTAGGAAGGGACTATCTTTTGAATGGCTTCAAAAGCTAAACAGAAGATTTTATGTTTATCCTGGAGGTAATAGGAAGCCTTTGGAGTTTATTGAGTAGGGGGATGACTTGGTGAGATTGGTGCTATAGGAACTTTATTAAGTAAAAATAATCAGTTAATTCTGGGATTGTGGGAGATGTGACTATAAAGTAACAAACCTAATTTTAAAATAAGTGCACCCAAAGGTTCCTATCCAACTGAGCATTATGCCTTTCAAAATATTCATCTCAGGAGGCTATACATTCATTCTGAGTGGAGGATGAACTGAAGTTGGGAGAGACTTGAGGCAGTGAGTTCAGTCAGAAGGCTATTCAAATAGTCCAGGTACGTGGTAGTGAGAGGCTGTAAGTGGAGCAAAGTCACAGATTGGATACATGGAATGAGTTGAGAATGACACTGAAGTTGTGAGCCCAAGTAACTGGGAGGAAAGTGGTACTCTTGACAGCAATAGGAGAGCATTTGTATTAGATGTGTTGAATCTGAGTTGCCTAATTTGAGAAAGAAACATGCAGGCCAGGTGGGAGACGAGTAAAGAACAAGCTCCGTTTACTAATCTGAGGGTTAGGGTTTTTATATCTTTGACTCACGGGAATATGACCCAAAGTAATAGTAAGTAAAGCAACAAAGTTTACATGTCTTTACCAACAAGCAACACCACGAATTTTTCTCATGCGAATACTAACCAAAGTAACAGCAAGTACATTTCTCATGGCAACATTATCCTTGCCATTTCCTTATCTCATGGGAACATTAACCAAGGAATTATCCTGTCCATTTTCTCTATTCCTTGCAATCTCCAAGAGCATCCTGTTCTCAAGAGACAGAACAAGAGGGTGGGAAGCCAACATACCTGAATTATGTAGCCATCGGATATAGGACAGACTACAGGTAAAACCTGGCCTGAATCCTCTGACTCTTCAGAGCTGGCCCTTTACAGAGATCTTCCTTGAAACTTATTACCTTGGAGAGCTCTCTGGGGCATTGAGAGTTTACATAACTTGGCCAGGCCTACGTAGCAAGAATATGTCAGATGTGAAACTTGAACCCAAGTCTTTGTGACTTTGAAGCTAGCTTTTTATTCACTATATCATGGTACCTCTCTAAGGCATGCTAGGAAAAGTCATCTATTGGAGACAGACTATAGTGTGCTTGTCTGCCAATATCTTCTTTTGTACCTCCAGTGGAAGAGTTCCTGCCTTAACAGTGATCAGGCCTTTTCCTACGACCCTCCTTATCCTCCTTATGGCTCTTGGGTCTGGATCTTTGAATGTCCTACCATCCTGTGACCTTTTAGTCCAACTTTTTTATTTTACAGATGGAGAAAATGAGGCCAAGGGAGGTTAGGTAAAAAGCCTAGGGTCATAAATATCATAAGCATCAGAGTGAAATTTCAGCCTAGACCCTCTGACAGTGGTCTTTCTCCTATACCACAGCGTTCTAACAAGCCACTTTACAGATAATGAAACTAAGTCCTAGAGAGTTTAATCAAGTTGCCCAAATAGCAGCCAGTACTCTCATCACTAGTAGATGCTCAGTAAATGTTTGTCTAATGAATGATGATAACCCCAAAAGGTAAATGTTTAAGGAGATGATAAAGGGAAGATGTTGAAGCTGTCAGAATACTGCCTAATCTTGGAGGTCAAGGGGATGAAGTTTTGAATACATAGTGTGGGCAACATAAAAATCTGTCCTATTTTCTTTTGCAGTCTGGAAGCAGAAATATTTTGCAGTGTGCTATGATCCAGTCTGAACCTTTGGGATATTAGCTTGGTGCTTCACATTCTGTTGCTCTGAGTCGGGCTTGCCCTTGTCTTTTCCCTTCTGTTCTTTGAATTTTTTTTCCTTGCCAGCTAAGTGTTGGCATCCCTGCCATTAAGTACTGTTGAATATCATACTCTCGTGTGAGCCATGGTGGAAAGCTGTGCAATAAAACAAGAGTCCAAGACTGTGAACTATTTTCTTCTCATTACTTTGAACTATTTTTAACTAGAGAAAATGAAGACCAATTTTATATGCACTAATCAAGCTTTTTTGCTAAGAGTTGAAGAAAATCCCATCTCAGAGTTGCAGCCTCAGCAAGTTTCAGCAGGGCTGTTTTTAAATATATTTGGCTGTGATGAAGGCAGATTCATTTCCCTGTGGTCCTTATCTGTCTGAAAATAGCAAGTATTAAATATGCTAGTCTTTGCATCTAGAATATAAAATCTTGCTGCCTTTCTGTGAGATCTCATCACCACTAGGTTTTGCCAAATCAGTCAACTGAGACTGAATTTTTAGGTCACCTTGACTGAAGTTTCTTATTAATATGTCAAACATAATTCTGAGGTTCTGGTAGCATACCACAATTTCTCTAGGGATAGAGATGGGAAAGGCCTATAACATAATGATATGATATAACATCTCCAGCATTACCAAGCTGAAATTCTTTTAATTTTCATCCAGGAGGGACCTTCTTTAGAATGAAAATATATTCCAACAAATGCAACTGAATCATAGTACTCCTGGCCATCTGAGATAGAAATGAGCCCAGAAATTATTATAACTCGGTTTAAAAAAAAACTTTCTCCCTGAATTTGCTCTTCCTCTTAATTTCATTTCTTTTGTCTTTGGCACCATTGTTCATCCAGTCTCTCATGTTTGAAACTTTGAGGTTGACTCTTACCTCTTTTTCACTTCTCATATCCAATCAATGACACTAAGGGTTAT